GTATCCCGAATTCTGCCTTAGAGGATGTTTACCTGATGATATTAGGCCAAAAGCCTTTGACCGCTGAAGTGCTTCCCCACTGGGAGGTAACACCCCTGTCAGGCGATTGTTGGGGATGTTCATTCATCCATTGTCATAGCGTTGGCATAGTTTTGCCAATATACCATGCACTGGGGCATCCTTGCCTGCAATGTATAGGAAATAGGAACAGGAGTAGGCAGTTGAGCCCCTTGGGTCTGCTTTGCCATTCAGTAAGATCATGGCTGAAAGCCCACATTCATGCCCTTTCCTCATGTGCCCGAATGATCAAGAATTTATCTATCTCAGCCTTAAATATGCACAAGGACTCTGCCCACAGCTCTCTGTGGCAAGGAGTTCCAAAGACTCTCAACACTCAGAGAGAAGAAATTCCTCCTCATTTCAGTTTAAATTGGCTCTGCTTTGAGACCATGTCCCATGGTCCTGGACTCTCCCACAACAGGAAACATCCCCTCAGCATTTAATCTGTGAAGCCCCTTTAGAATTCTTGTATGTTTCAATGAGATCACCTTTTATTCTTCTAAGCTGCAGTGAGTAGAGATCCAACCATTTAGCCTTTGTTCATGAGACAGTCCCTCCATACCAATGGGAATCATTCGAATGAACCATCTCTGAACTGCCTCCAATATGATACCTTTTCTTAGATAAGGAGACAAAACTGCTCGCAATACTACAGATGTGGTCTCACCAGCACTTTGCATAGTTGCAGTAAGACTTCCCTATTCTTACACTCAAACCCCTTGGAATAAGGCCCAATATTCCATTAGCCATCCTGATTACCCAGTGTACCTGTGTGCTAGCTCTCTGTGTTTTGTGCACAAGAAGCCCCAGGTCCCTTTGTGTTACAGATTTCTGCAGTTTTTCTCCTTTAGCTAGTGGTCTTCTTTTTCTCCCTTCCAAAATGAACAAATTCACATTTTCCCACATTATGCTCCATTTCTCAACTTTTGTCACTCGCGTAACCCATCAGTATCTTTCTTTAGAGATAGTAGGAACTGCAGATGCTGGAGAATCTAAAATAACAAGGTGTAGAGCTGGATGAACACAGCAGGCCAAGCAGCATCAGAGGAGCAGGAAGGCTGACGTTTCGGGCCTAGACCCTTCTTCAGAAAATCTTCTGAAGAAA